AAAAAGAAACATGACTCTTTGTTCTCTTTAGGACCTCAACTGATAGGATGATGCCCACCCATATTGGGGAGGGCAATCTACTGAATCCGCTGATCCAAATGCTAATCTTGTCTGCAAGACACCCTCACAGACACTCCCAGAAATAGTGTTTTACCTGGGAACTGCATAGTCCAGTCAATTTGACACACAAAATCAACCATCACAGACCTACAGTCAGTGCAATCAGTGTCAGTAGGTATTCTTGTGTGTTCCGCATCTCTCTCTTTCTCACTTGCACACACATACACATACACACACAAACACACGCACACCTGCACACACACACCACATTTACTCACTTACCCATTTGTTTGGTCAACTAGTCAATAAACAAATATTTGCTACCATTTACTGTGTGCAGGGTTCAGCAACTCCTGCAGAAAGGGTTCGGGACATTCGAAGAGAATGATAAACAAAAAATGGTCCCTGCTATCAAGAAATTTACAATCTATTGCAAGAGACATTCATGTCCATATAGCTAAAATGAGTTATACGATAGAAGTGCTTCAAGTATAATCTATATACTGTTAGAATGCTGAGGGATCCATTAATTCTAACGTGGGAGATGGGGAAGTAAGCATTAAGCACTAACAGCATTGATCTCGGAGAGAAGCGGGGTAAGAGAATTGCTGAAAGAAGGAGCAGCATGAAGAAACCATGCACAAGAGTTATATTGGTTAGAATAGTGCAGGAAGGGCAGGTAGCTTGGTGGGCTTAGCAGGTAGAGTTTGGGAGCCCAGGGTCATAAGGTTGGGAAGGTAGGTTTGATATGTCCCTCATGCTTTTTTATATATGAAGTAAAGCAAATCCTGTGTTTTGGGGGAACCCCACTTGGTTATTCACATATTTGGGTGAAGCAAAAATTGGCAAGGCTAGGGGAAGAGTAAAAAAATGGGATTGTTCTGGATATACACTAGGCACTTAACTAGTATTGGAAGGCCAGAGCTGGTTTGAGACCAGACTACCTGAGCCACTTTTTTTTATTATTATACTTTAGGTTCTGGGGTACATGTGCAGATCATGCAGCATTGTTGCATAGGTACATACATGGCAAGGTGGTTTGCTGCCTCCATCCCCCCGTAACCTATATCTGGTATTTTGCCCCACGTTATTCCTCCCCACCCTCCCTACCCCTCACTGTTCCTCCCCTAGCCCCCCACAACGGGCTGCAGTGTGTGATGCTTTCCTCCCTGTGACCACATGTTCTAATTGTTCAACACCTGCCTATGAGTGAGATCATGCAGTGTTCAATTTTCTGTTCTTGTGTCAGTTTGCTGAGAATGATGGTTTCCAGATTCATCGATGTGTCTACTAAGGACACACACTCATTGTTTTTTATGGCTGCGTAGTATTCCATGGTGTATATGTACCACATTTTCTTTATCCAGTCTATCATTTATGGACATTTGGGTTGGTTCCAGGTCTTTGCTATTGTAAACAGGGCTGCAATGAACATACATGTGCATATGTCTTTATAGAACAATTTATAATCCTTTGGGTATATACCCAGTAATGGGATTGCTGGGTCAAATGGTATTTCTATTTCTAGGTCCTTGAGGAATTGCCACACTGTCTTCCACAATGGTTGAACTAATTTACACTCCCACCAACAGTGTAAAAGTGTTCCTATTTCCCCTCATGCTCTCCAGCATCTGTTGTCTCCAGATTTTTTAATGATCATCATCCAAACTGGCGTGAAATGGTATCTCAATGAGGTTTTGATTTGCATTTCTCTAATGACCAGTGATGATGAGGATTTTTTCATATGTTTATTGGCTTCATGTATGTCTTCTTTTGTAAAGTGTCTGTTCATACCATTTGCCCACTTTTGAATGGGTTTGTTTTTTTCTTGTAAATCTGTTTTAGTTTTTTGTAGATTCTGGATATTAGCCCTTTGTCAGATGGGTAGATTACAAAAGTTTCTTCCCATTCTGCTGGTTGCCAGTTTGCTCTAATGATTGTTTCTTTTGTGTACACAAGCTCTGGAGTTTAATTAGATCCAATTCATCTATTTTGGCTTTTGTTGCCATTGCCTTTGGTGTTCTAGTCATGAAGTCCTTGCCTATGCCTATGTCTTGAATGGTTTTGCCTAGTTTTTCCTCTAGGTTTTTATGGTGTTAGGTCTTATGTTTAGATCTTTAATCCATCTGGAGTTAATTTTAGTGTTAGGTGTCAGAAAGGGGTCCAGCTTCTGCTTTCTGCACATGTCTAGCCAGTTTTCCTAACACCATTTACTAAACAAGGAACCCTTTCCCCATTGCTTGTTTTTGTCAGGTTTGTCAAAGATCAGATGATTGTAGATGTGTGGTGTTTCTTCTGAGGCCTCTGTTCTGCTCCATTGGTCTATGTCTCTTTTTTGGTACCAGTATCATGCTGTTTTGATTACTGTAGCCTTGTAGTATAGTTTGAAGTCAGGTAGCTTGATGCCTCTGGCTTTGTTCTTTCTGCTTAGGATTGTGTTGGCTATGTGGGCTCTTTTTTGGTTCCATATGAAGTTTAAGGTGTTTTTTTCCAGTTCCGTGAAGAAGGTCATTGGTAGCTTGATGGGGATTGCATTGAATCTTTAAATTACTTTGGGCAGTATGGCCATTTTCACAATATTGATTCTTCTTAACCATGATCATGCAATGTTTTTCCATCTGTTTGTGTCCTATCTTATTTCCTTGAGCAGTGGTTTGTAGTTTTCCTTGAAGAGGTCCATTACCTACTTTGTTAGTTGTATTCCTAGGTATTTTATTCTCTTTGTAGCAACTGTGAATGGCTACAGTTCACTTCTGATTTGGCTCTGTTTGTCTGTTATTGGTGTCTAGAAATGCTTGTGATTTCTGCACATTGATTTTGTATCCTGAGACTTGGCTGAAGTTCCTTATCAGTTTCAGGAGATTTTGGGATGAGACAATGGGGTCTTGTAAATGTACAATCATGTCATCTGCAAATAGAGGCAATGTGGCTTCCTCTTTTTCTGGGTTGAATACCCTTTATTTCTTTTTCTTGCCTGATTGCTCTGGCTAGAACTTCCAATACTATTTTGAATAGGAGTGGTGAGGAGGGCATCCTTGTCTAGTGCCAGATTTCAAAGAGAATGCTTCCAGTTTTTGCCCGTTCAGTATGATATTGTCTGTGGGTTTGTCATAAATAGCTTTTATTATTTTGTGTATGTTCCATCGATGCCTAGTTTATTGAGAGTTTTTAGCATAAAGGGCTGCTGAATTTTGTCAAAGACCTTCTCTGCATCTATTGAGATAATCATGTGGTTTTTGTCTTTGGTTCTGTTTATGTGATGGATTACGTTTATAGGCTTGCACATGTTGAACCAACCTTGCCACTTTTCTGATGAGATTAACATGAATTTTACCTCTTGGGGATTCTGCACACTGCAGGAACTACTCTCTGAGTTCTGATTGCTCTGTGCAAGCTCTGATCAACCCTTAGTTTAGCATGGACTCTTCACAATCAAATCAAAATCCAGAGTTAGAGCTAGGATGCCTGGAGCTGCCACTTATATTGGGTTGGCAAAATGCCAAATGAGTAAGTATAGCATTTCACCCATAAAATTATTCCTTTTTTCCCCACCAAGACTAGACTTCACTAAGTTGACAGCATACTGTGTCAATATATTATAGAGAAACCTAATAGGAAAAAAAGAATGGCAATTTTCATTGCATGCCACCTAAGGGTATATTTCTCAGTAATTTCCAAATCAATTGAAAACTGAAATCTGAAAATTACTTTTATCTTACTACTCACCCTCTTATCCCAACTTTAAGCTTTGTCTCTACTTCACTGATAATTAATTTCTTTTTTTTTTTCTTTTCTTTTTTTTTTTTTTTTTTTTTTTGAGATGAAGTTTCACTCTGTAACCCAGTGCAGTGGCACAATCTCTGCTTACTGCAGCCTCCCTCCTATCTCAGCCTCCCTGAGGAGCTGGGACTACAGGCATGTGCCACCACTCCCAACTTATATTTGTATTTCTAGTAGAGACGAGGTTTCACCACGTTTGGCCAGGCTGGTCTTGAACTTCTGACCTCAAGTGATCTGCCTCCCTCAGCCTCCCAAAGTGCTGGGATTACAGTCATGAGTCACTGTACCCAGGCATAATTAAATATTAATCAGCTATTTGTTAATTATTAATTATCAATGATTAAATCACTCAATGATTTATTTACCATTAATCAATATTAGTTCTTTAAAAATTAGTCAAAAACAATAGATTAAGACTTAAAGACAAGACGTGTCATTTCAGAGATTCTGTAGTCGCTGATGCCCAATGGCACCCTCCCTGTTTTTGTGAAAGCGAAGAATTTGTATTTTTTGATGGTACTAATTGAAGCAGTAGTTCATTTGTAGCTGCCAATGAGTTGACTCAAAAATAAAAAATAAAAAATAAAAAAATCTCATCGTAACATTGTCGAGAGAGGAAATCCTTTGTGTTTGGCCTTGGTTTGATAAAAATGAGTCTTGGATACTATATACGGTAAGTGGATATTAAAAGAAGGGTTACGAATTGTTGCTTTAGTGTTCTCAGCCTTAGAGACTCAAAGTATCTTATCAGAAAGGATACATTGCTTTAATTGTTCCTTATTATATAGAATGAGAGAACATCATTTCTCTCCTTTTCCTCCCAGGTGGCCGTGGAGGACCGAGTCAGGCAGCTGCATGAAGCCCACAGGGACTTTGGCCCAGCATCTCAACACTTTCTTTCCAGTAAGTCATTTTCAGCTTTTATCACTTAACTTCATTGCATCTTGATTAATAAGAATTAACAGTTGAAAAAAAGGAAATTAAGTGATGAATTATAATCATCTCTGTCAGATGCAGTAGAAGCATAAACCATCCTGAAATATAACGTGGTTGATGAATTCAGAAGATTAGGAAGAGGAAGGCCAGTTAGATCATTTTGTCCAGTCTTCAGCTAATGCATAATTGTTTCCTGCAACATATTCTCAAATGCTAACTTTATTAATGTTTTTGAGTCTTTCTGAAAAATATGGAACACTTTGCTCTGGAGCCATGCTAATATTCTCTATATCATTCCAATGTTAGTATGTGGGTTGCCGAAGCAAACATATACATTTGAGTTTTCATTTCTACCTATCAGTTCAGTTAATAAAGCTAATAATTATGATATCATGTAATTATAACATCATCATTCAATATATGTTACTTTGATTCTATCATTCTTTATATCTAAATAATTCATTATATACTCCCTGCCTTTTGAAATGAATGACAGTTCTCAAAAGAAGGCATACAAATGGCCAACAGGGATATGAAAAAATGCTCAACATCGCTATTTACCAGGGAAATGCAAATCAAGACCACAACACATATCATCTTACCCAGGTTATAATGGCTATTATTCACAAGACAAAAAAAACGACAGAATCTAGTGAGAATGTGGAGAAAGGGAACTCTTACACTGTTGGTAAAAATGTAACAATAAATTAGTAACAGTATGAAGATTTCTCAAAAAACTATAAATAGAACTACCTTACCATCTGGCAATCCCACTACTGATTATCTAACCCAAAGCAAAGGAATCGTTTATCAAAAGATACCTGTACTTGCATGCTTATCACAGCACTGTTTACAATAGCAAAGATGTGAAATCAACCTAAGTGTACATCAACAGATGAACTAGATGAAGAATATGTGGTATCTATACACAATGGATACTACAAGAATGAAATCACATCATTCACAGCAACATGGATGGAACTGGAGGTCATTATGTTAAGTGAAGTAACCCTGGCACAAAAAGACAAATACTGCACGTTCTCACTCTTGAGGGAGCTAAAAAAATTGATCTCATAAAAGTAGAATAGAATGATGGATACTAGTGGCTGGGAAAGGTGTGTGGGTTGAAGGGGGAGATAAAGAGAGATTGGTTAATGCATACAAACATACAGTTAGATAGAAGGAATAAGTTCTATCATTTGACAGCAGAATACGGTGACTATATTTAACAACTATAGTCATGTGTTGTACATTTCAAAGTACCAAGGAGAAAGGGCTTGAATTGTTCCAAATACCTAAAAATGACAAATACTCAAAGTGATGGATGCCTCAAATATCCTGACTTGATAATTGTACATTCTATACCAGAAAAATATCACATTACGTTATAAATATGTAAAATATTATATATTGGCCAGGTACGGTGGCTCACACCTATAATCCCAGCACTTTTGGAGGCCAAAGCAGGTGGATGATGAGGTCAAGAGATCAAGACCATCCTGGTCAACATGGTGAAACCCCGTCTCTACTAAAAATATAAAAATTACCTGGGCATGGTGGCACAGCCTGTAGTCCCAGCTACTCAGGAGGCTGAGGCAGGAGAATTGCTTGAAGTGGAGGTTGCGCTGAGCCGAGATTGCTCCATTGCACTCCAGCCTGGGTAACAAGAGCAAAATTCCATCTCGAAAATATATATATATATATATATATATATATATATATATATATGTATATATAAAATATAAAATATATAAATATATATTTTATATATATATACATACATATATATATATATATATATATATATATATATATATAATGTATCTTAAATAAATAAATAAATAAATACTCTGCCTCCAAGTTGAAACCTCAGCCTATGGGCATTTCCTTTCCCTCACTATTTGTATCCTCCTTTTTTGGGGGAGGAGGGGATAGGGGAGGGAGTCTTACTCTTTTCCCCAGGCAGGAGTACAGTGGCATGATCTCAGCTCAGTTCAACCTCCACCTCCTGGGTTCAAACGATTCTCCTGCCTCAGCCTCCCGAGTAGCTTGGACTACAGGCATGCACCACCACACCCAGATAATTTTTGCATTTTTTTTTTTTTTTTTTTTTTTTTTTTTTTTTTTTTTTTTTGAGACGGAGTTTCGCTCTTGTTACCCAGGCTGGAGTGCAATAGCACGATCTCGGCTCACCGCAACCTCCGCCTCCTGGGTTCAGGCAATTCTCCTGTCTCAGCCTCCTGAGTAGCTGGGATTACAGGCATGAGCCACCATGCCCAGCTAATTTTTTGCATTTTTAGTAGAGACGGGGTTTCACCTTGTTGACCAAGATGGTCTCGATCTCTCGACCTTGTGATCCACCCGCCTCAGCCTCCCAAAGTGCTGGGATTACAGGCTTGAGCCACCGCGCCTGGCCAATTTTTGTATTTTTTAGTAGAGACAGGGTTGCACCATGTCGACCAGGATAGTCTCAAACTCCTCACCTCAGGTGATCCACCTTTTGTCCTTGACTTGACTTCTTCTACTTCTTTTATGGTTTTATCATTTTAATAATTATGTTTTTATAATTAATACTACAAGAGAAATAGCCTCAGTTAACTGAAAGTTTAAGTATTAGAACCTCCTATTTATACAATAGTACATATTAAATTGGCAAGCACCTGTTTTCCTCTGATTAATGTTAATTTATACCCCTTTTTCTTTTATTATAAAAGTGGATTATTGAGGTTTTTTATATTTCAAAAGCCATACTTTACCACATGCAGTTAATATGTGTTAGCATTCTAATATATTTCCTTCTAGTCATATATGAGTATGTCTGAGGGTTTACCAATCACTTTAAGGCAATTACTTTGTGCCTAGCAATGTTACAAATTTTAACTAGTTTAATCCTTACAGCGATCCCTTAAGGTAGGTACCATTATTATACCCATTTCAATGATGAAGAAATTGAGGCACACGTTTATACAGCTAGTAGATGAGAGAGCCAGGATTCAAACCCAAGAAGTTGGCACCCGAGTCTGTGTTTTTAACCATCACACTGTAATTTTACTTAATTTATATATTTTATGGAAAGGAAGTAATTGTATATGATCATTCTTCTGCCATATTGTTTCCTTGCCATTTTCTGATCTTTTCCTTTCTTTCTTTTCCATTCTCCATGAATTAATAAAAAGATCCACGCTCACAAATACCTTAAAGTATTTGATTAGATGGTTTCATGTGTTTCTTCAGTTGGCTGTTGTCTTTTTTTTTTTTTTTTTTTTTTTTTCGAGACGGAGTTTTCGCTCTTGTTACCCAGGCTGGAGTGCAATGGCACGATCTCGGCTCACCGCAACCTCCGCCTCCTGGGTTCAGGCAATTCCCCTGCCTCAGCCTCCTGAGTAGCTGGGATTACAGGCACGCACCACCATGCCCAGCTAATTTTTGTATTTTTAGTACAGACGGGGTTTCACCTTGTTGACCAAGATGGCCTCGATCTCTCGACCTCGTGATCCACCCGCCTCGGCCTCCCAAAGTGCTGGGATTACAGGCTTGAGCCACCGCGCCCGGCCTTGGCTGTTGTCTTTTTGGACAAAAATTCCTGGAAGGTGTTGGTCCTGTGTTTTTATTATACACTGATAATAGGTTAAGAAGTATCTATTTCCTGGACTGGCTCTCACTTTATTATCTACATCTGATCTAGTTATTTGGACACAGTTTCACAATGCTTTGGAGTTGCTAAAAGAAAAAGGGGGATCGGTAAAGCAGTTTATCTAAGTGAGTGGGATCGTGGCTTTTAGGAACAGCTCTAGAAAAATGATAAAGGCTTCAGACTTTGTCTTCTGTATTTTTCTAAATCTCTAGTCTACTAAACTTGCCTTGGTGACAGCCATTCTATTCAATTTAATTGAGATTAAATGTGATAACATGCTCCTAAGCAACTCATAAACCATAAATAAAAAATAGTACTATTATGAATATTAATTATTCCTCAGACACCAGGAGTATTCATTCATATTTTCTTCTCTCTGACTGCCCCTCTGAATTCCCATGTCTTACCCATTAAAACCTATTCTCAGAAAACGATATACTCATTTAACCCAGGTGACAGGTAAAGTTTAATGAGTACTTCTCCTGGGTTATTTGCATTTTATTAGAGTGAAAATCCGTAAGCCTGAGGTGGTAGAACAACAGCCATAAGCTCTGAGCTGTGAGGGAAGAACTTTGAGTAGCCAAGAAGAACATTCTCACACCTTTCAAACCATATCACATCAGTGCCCACTTTCAGAAAGGTCAGGCTTGTTAGACACAGGCATTAATAAAGAGACTGATCTACCTGCCTGAATGAAGCGAGCCCAGAAGTCATCAATCTCTTGGATACCCATGTGAAATATCAATATATGCTTAAAAGTTTTGCTTGCAGTTATAAAGAAAATACCAACTTGGTTTAAGGGATATTTAAGAAATAGGATGCTGAGACAAAAGACAGATCGTTTCTTTACATTGTCGTTTTTAAAATTACAAAGGTACTCTATACACATCAAGAAAAATTGGGATAGCACACAGTACAAACAAGAAAAGAAAAAATATTCACAATCCCATGACTCAGAGATAATCACTATCAGAAATTTGTTTTATATACATTCTGTCTTTCTCCTGTGGGCTGTGTGTGTGTGTGTGTGTGTGTGTGTGTGTGTATGTGTGTGTGTGAAGGTTCTTTTCTTTTCTTTTTTTATTTTTTAATTTGTTTTTTGAGACAGAGTGCAATCTTGGCTCACTGCAACCTTCCCTTCCTGGGTTCTAGCGAGTTTCATGACTCAGCCTTCTTCGGCTACTTTTTTGTATTTGTGGTAGAGATGGGGTTTCACTCTGTTGGCCATGCTGGTCTCAAACTTGTGGCCTCAAGTGATCGGCCCACTGCAGCCTCCCAAAGTGCCGGGATTACACGTGTGAGCCACTGCACCCAGCCTCTCTTTTTCTTTTAAACCAAGCACAGATGAAACATTATTACAGTTTTATGACCTGTTTTTTTCCCTTCAAACTGTCTTTATAATACTTTTATGCACTTAAGTATTCTTCTACAGGGTAATTTTTCTTTTTTTCTTTTTTTTAACTACAGGGTAATTTTTCTAATGATTGGCTATTCCTCTCTTCTGTGGCTGTACCAAATTTACCAACATAATTCTAAATTGCTCAATATTAAGAGTACTTCACAATTTTTACTATTATATCCAGCATTATGGCTAATATATTTTTTTGGTGGGGGGTAACAGAGTTTTGCTCCGTTGCCAGGCACCAGGCAGTGTCGTGATCTTGGCTTACTGCAACCTCCACCTCCCAGGTTCA